CGCAACTCTGGTCTCGGAGATGCCCTGCCCCATGGTGGCCCGGCCACTTTCGCTTGAGACATCCTCGGAATTCTGGGTTTCGAGACGCCCTGAACTGAGGTGGTTAGACCACTTTCGCTTGAGACATCCTCGCAACTCTGACCTCAGAGATCTCCTGCCCCATGCTGGTCAGGCCACTGTCGCCTGAGACATCCTCGCAAGTCTCGATTCCGATATGCCCCGAGCTGAGGTGGTCAGCCACTGTCGCCTGAGACATCCTCGCAACCCTGATCTCAATGATGCCCTGCTCGATAGTGTCTCGGCGCCTTTCGCCTGAGACATCCTCGGAACTCTGGGTTCTGAGACGCCCTGAGCTGAGGTGGTTAGACCACTTTCGCTTTAGACATCCTCGCCCGAGATGCCCTGAGTTGAGGTGTTCAGGCCACTTTCGCCTGAGACATCCTCGCAACTCTGACCTCAATGATGCCCTGCTCCATAGTGTCTTGGCCTTTCCTGCCTGAGACATCCTCGCAACTCTGGGTTCCGAGACGCCCTGGGCTGAGGTGGTCAGACCACTCTCGCCAGAGACATCCTCGCAACTCTGACCTCAGAGATCTCTTGCCCCATGGTGGTCAGGCCACTTTCGCCTGAGACATCCTCACAACTCAGACCTCGGAGGTGTCCTGCCCCATGGTCGTCTGGTCACCTTGACCAGCGACATCCTCGCCACTCTGGTTTCCAAGATGCCCTGCCCCATGGTGATCCGGCCACGCTTGCCTGAGACATCCTCGGAACTCTGGGTTGCGAAATGCCCCGAGCTCAGGTGGACAGGCCACTATCGCCTGCGACATCTCTGCGGCATGTGCGGGCATGTGCGTCTATGCTTTCAGAGTTTTGCTTGACCGTGCATTCGACTGTGCGTCGGACGGTGTGGCATGTGCGCGCATGTGCGGCAATGCTGTTGAGGCTTTTGTATATTTGCATGGGCATGTGCATGCGACTGTGCGGCATGTGCCTGCATGTGCGGCCCCTTCCGGACCACAAGTTCAAAGTGAGCACTATAGAAGTTGACGCTATAGAAGTGAGTCCGGTGTACGTATGTATGTATACATGTATGTATGTATGTATGTATGTATGTACGTACGTACGTACGTATGTATGTATGTATGTATGTATATATGTACATATGCATTCATGTATGCATGTATGCTTGTAGTGTGTATGAATGCATGCTTGTATGTATGTATGTATGTATGTATGTTTGTATGTACGTATGTCGGTAGGTGTGTAGATACTTAGGTAGGTAGATGGGTAGGTATGAACGTGTGTATGCATGCATGTATGTCTGTCTGCATGCATGTATGTCTGTAGGCATGCGTGTATGTATGTATGTATGCATGCCTGTATGTATGCATGCATGCATGCATGCATGTATGCCTGTATGTATGTATGTATGTATGTATGTATGTATGTATGTATGTATGTATGTATGTGTTTGTCTGTATGTATGAATGTATGTATGCATGAATGTGTGCGTATGTGTGTGTGTGTGTCCCTGTATGTATGTATGTATGTATGTATGTATGTATGTATGTGTGTGTGTCTGTCTGTCTGTCTGTCTGCCTGCCAGTCTGCCTGTCTGTCTGCATGTATGTTGTCTGCCTGTTTGTCAGTCTGTCTGCATTCATGCATGTACGTCTGCCTGTCTGCATGCACGCATTGATGTATGTATGTATGCATACACGTATGTATGTATGTATGTATGTATGTATTTACGTGTATGCATGCATGCACGCATGCATGTATGTATGTATGTATGTATGCATGCATGCATGTATGTATGTATGTATGTATGTATGTAGGTATGTATGTATGTATGTATGTGCATCTGTATATGCATGCATGCATGTTTACATTTATGTATGTATGAATGCATTCATGCATGTATGCTTGCATGCATGCATGTATATATGTGTGGATGCAGGTATGTATGTTTATATGTATGTATATATGTATGTTTGTTTGTGTGTATATATGTACGTATGTATGTATGTATGTATGTACGTACGTATGTACGTACGTATGTATGTATGTATTTATGCATGCATGCATGTATGTATGTATGTAATGTACTGCGATGCAGTGCAATGCAGTGTAGTGTACTGTCCTGTGCTGTACTAGTCTGTAATGTAACGTAACGTAATGCATTGCCATGTCATGTGTTATACTGTGATGTATTGTAATGCTATGTAGTGTAATGTAATGTTATTTACTTTCATGTAGTGTATTGTAATGTATTGCACATCACCGTAACGCACTGTACTGTAATTTATTTATGTGTGTGTACATGCATGCATGTATGCATGTATGCATGTCTGCATGTCTGCATGTCTGCATGTCTGCATGTATGTATGTATGCATGCATGCATGCATGCATGTCTGTCTGTCTGCCTGCCTGCCTGCTCTGCCTGTCTGTCTGTCTGTCTGTCTGTCTGTCTGTATGCATGCATGCATGTATGTA